TGTGTGTGAGGAAGATCAGCCCTGAGCTAACATCCATGCTAATCCTCCTCTTTTTGCTGAGGAAGACTGGCCCTGGGCTAACATCTGTGCCCATCTCCTCCACTTTATATGGGACGCCGCCACAGCATGGCCTGACAAGCGGTGCGTCAGTGTGTGCCCAGGATCTGAACCCGGGCTGCCAGCAGCAGAGTGCATGCACTTAACTGCTACGCCACAGGGCTGGCCCCTGTTACATGAGTCTTCACTGGCTTTTGGCCGCCCCAGGTGTTCCATGGCTTGTGGCAGCATAACTCCAGTCTCTGCCTCTGTCTTCACATGACCTTCTCTCTTGTGTCTGTCTCTTTTCCTCTTCTTATAAGGACACCAGTCAAATTGGATTACTGGCTCACCCTACCCTGGTATGACCTCATCTTGTTCCAAGTAAAGTCACATTCTGAGTTACTTGGGGTTAAGTCTTCAACATGTCTTTTTTGGGGCCACAATTCAATCCATAACACCCTTCATGGTCCAAAATGGCTGCCAGAGTTCTAACCACGAAATGTACCCTCTAGGTAGCAGAAAAGAGGTAGGAAGAAAGAGCAAAAGGAGTAAGGGGCTCAGGGGAGCTCAGATTCAGCCTGTCACTCACCCAATACCACTGGCACAAGAGCAGGAGAGTGAAAGTCAGTCTTATGTTATGCTCCATGGGTTCACTTATGCTGGAGGGAGGTTGGTGCCACCTGCCAGGAATCAGAGGCAAACTGGGCAGTAAGGACCATGTCTGAGAGCTCCCTGGCCTGGCACAGGTAGCCAGATGCCCCAGCCTCTCCAAGAGATATTGATTCTTCAAGAACTTTCACCAACATCGGAAAAGAAGTCTGGGAATTACCACCTCCCTCCTCAACCCAGCCCAGAATACTGAACCTGCAGAAACGGCCTCCTAGTATGGGAAGAAGGTGCAGAAAACCAATGGATTCCAGCACAGTGCTGCCCCAGGGGAACATCAAGAGTGTGGCCTGCACTATAGTGTCCACTAGGCACGAGACCCAAGCTGCAGGGGCTGACAGAGCTGTGATGTGGGTGACATGACAGTGCCCATCTGACATGGATGCCAAGAGTTTGTGTTCTGGCCTGGGCCCCAGCTCTGCCCTTGCTGCCTCCTCCAGCACATTCTCACAGTCTTGTCTACAGTTTTTCTAATGACTTGTAAGGGGGTTGGTGTGGCTCAGGGGTCACATACCAGGCTGGGCATCCAAGTGGCCCCTTTGTCCACCACTCAAGGGTCCAGACTCAGAGCCCTGTTGCTGACATGAGCAAGTGGGCGGATGTGGATATAACATAACCACGTTTCTATGCCATTTTCTTGGGTGTGACTATACTTTCTTACTTGTTTTATTTCTTATGATTCTGTTTCTAAGTCACAGGCCTGTCCAGGGTACCTAGAGCAAGTCCTTGCTGCCAACTTAAAAAGCAATTCACCTGTTATTTTATCTCAAAATGAGTTTATTTGAGAATAGCCAAAAGAATAGACATGCATACTACCGCAAACCATAGGCAAATCCAGAAAACAAAGAGGGGAGCTGCCTTTATAGAGAAAAAGGGGGAGGAAGAGGGGCTGTTCTAAAGGAAAGTTCCCTGGGGGAAAGCAGCAGTTCAGGGCGGCAACGGCTTCTCATTGGCGGGGCTGTTGCCGGCTGGGGAGAGAAATCTTCTTTCACAGTCAAGTAGTTGTACTTCCTGTGGGAGATGCAGGCTCCTCTCTTCCTGTTTGGTGTGATTGACGATGTGTGATGGGGGTGAGAGCTCCCCCTACAGGCCTTCTCCCGTCAAATTTAGTTAACGTTCTTTTTATTAATTTCCACGGTTTGTGTCCCAGGCCTGTCCAGGGTACGTAGGGCGAGTCCCTGCCAAGTGAGGAGCGGTCCGCTTTGCTGTGCGTGGTCCTGCCTCCAGGGTCCTCAAGGTGGACAACGGTGCCAGGCCCGGAGGGGGGAGCAGTGAGCAAGACCGGCGGAAACCGCTGCCCTGGGGAGAGGGGCTCCGGTCCTCGCAGAGGCGAGGACCAGCAAACACGTGGCCGCCGGGGACGTGCTCAGCGCGCGAGTTTGGTGGCGGGGGTCGCTCTGCGGAGGAACACTGAGCAGAGATGGACACGTCGTCTCTCCAGGAAGCTTCCTCAGCTCTTGCCGCGGGCGTCACTTGGCGCGTGGTCGTGTCTCTTCCCTCCCGGCCCCCCGCTGGCTCGCCCGGCTCACGGGCGCCAGCACCTGCCACGGCGCCTCGAACACGGGGCCCCCATCCTGGGTTAGGCAGGGGACTCACCCCGGGGTCCTGGGGCGAGGAGGGGCCCCTGGCCCAGCCGGCCCTGAGCCGCCGACCGTCTGCTCGGCGTCCAGCCCGCCGCTGCGTTCCCCCGGCAGCGGGACCGCTGGGTTTCGAGCGAGCTCGGGATCCGGTGCTCTGGACGCGGAGCGGGGAGCGGAGCCGCGGCGTCGCCTCG